GACTTTAATCAAACTAAAATGTACTTTAGCAGCTCCTGCCTGACTCAGAACTGTTTCTGAAACACAACTGCTTCACAAAACTAACACAGGATCAACACTAAGACTATCTGTTCTTAATCTCAAATGGACATAAATGGTGCTTCACAGTTTATAAAGCCAAACCCAAGTAGTCAAGAATATCCAGGTTCAAACTTCAACTAAAGTACATAATCCGTTAAACAGTACAGAATCTCTCTTGCAGAACTGTAGAAACGTTTTTTTCTGCTTTTAAATCCACATTGAAACAAATCTTTACTCTTGCAGGTGACTTAGTCTGGGGAAACCAGATGCATGTGTGTTTGTGCACATGTTCACCATTGCTCAGAAAGGTCAGCCAGGGCATGTCTGTACCGATGGGTACTTTGCTATTTGTTTGGCCACAGAAGCCTGATCAAATGATGCTGAGATGAAACTACTGCTGTCCGATGCTTAATATTGTTGATTTGTCTCCTTATTGTTGTGTTTTGGTTTTTGGTTTGGTTTTTTTTTTTTTTTTAGCAAAAGAAGTATTTTTGTAGTTGCCAGCTGCTCTATCTCCTCTCCCTCTCCTTTTGCTTGACGTACTGCATACATTCACATACATACATGCATGTGTACAAACATATGTTGTACATATTTATAAACTGGCCAATGCATTGCACACAGCAGACTTGAATCTGAAACATTGTCTGCAACTGCTTGCTAACTGGCTTTAGAATGGAATGGAAAAAAACTGAATAATCCATAGCTGGTCTTAAAATATTTCTAATGGATCAGATCTATTAGCTAGAAATGCTGTCAAAGAGCCATTTGCAATGTGAATGGCTTCTTTTCTTTCCCACATGATTAAATTTGGTTTGGCTGTTAGTGCATCCATTCCTTCCTTCCCAAACAGAAAAATCATTTACATAGTCTCATAGTTGTACACAAGGGAGCACACAGAAAAGTCCAGTGATTCATTCATCAAATTTCCACGTTTGAGTAAGCAGTGAGTTCAGTCATGTCAGTCTGCAGTGATTTTTCTGAATTACACAAACACTTGAACCAAGGAAATTAGAAGAAGAGAAAAGGAACTAACCATCTTTCTTGATCTTATTTCCTTCCTCACTTGTCAGGGATGAGCAACTCTTCCATTGTTTTGAGAGAGTTGATGTTATTTAATTCTCCTTCAGGGCCAGCATGAGGGATATGAAACCCAGTCTGAAATCTGTTAAAAGAATTCTGGCTTTTGCCATGTCAAGATAAGACAGTGGTGTGAACATCACTGCCTTATTTTTGATCACGCTTGAAGAGTCAGGCTGTTTGAAGCAAAGCCAGTGACCTCCTTTACCTCTTTTAATCCCTGAAAATAACTCGCATGCCCTTCCTTCCCTCTTCCATGACTGCTATCTCTTCTCTAATGCACATTCTTTTCTTTTAAGATACTCACTAAGAGTATGGAAAAGTAAAAACTTTTTCACTTGAGAAATGGACACTAAACAGCTGTGCAATTACCTGTTTGGTAATAAATGTTTCATTTTGCAGATAGGTGAAATGAAATCCAGAGAGGTCAGATGAGTTTCCTAAGGTTGTATGATGCAGAACTTAATTTGGGTATAGGAACAAAAGTCTCCTGAACCGTAGTCCCTTATTTGATTCAAAATGCCTGTGTGCCTGCACATATAGTCAGGAACAGTATCAATGGTATTTGCAGATGTTTTGTTTCAAAATCTGCTGAAGGATCAACAGGAAAAATTTGAATGGGCTGCCCTATTGAAAAGCACCAGAGAAAAGGTATTTGCTGCCTGGCTGAAGTCTGAAAGGATGATGTCTAGTCTTGGGGTTATGTCGATGTCATCCAAATTTCTCTTTGTATTTAAAATGCGTGTCCCCTCCTGGAATCAGCTTTGAGATATGTCTAGTTTGACATATGTAAACATTTCCAAATCAGATATTTAAAAAGTGTGGTAATATAGAGGATTTATTGCTGTGCGTGTTTTTTTATTTGATACATTTGGATTCACTTTATTGGCTTTGTCTTTCATGTGTGAATTATGCCACTTTGTCTTGTACTGCAAAAATGACAGCATCAAATGTATAGCAAGCAGGTTTCCATATGTCTTCTAAACATACTCTAAGAGACTTAACTGCTAAATAAGTGTAGACCTCTCTGGTTGGAAAAAATGTAGTAACTGTCTTGACTGTTTGATCTGCATATATAGAAAAAATATTTGATTCATGGAGATTTGTGCCCTGAAGTCTTACTGTGTTGCAGCTGATGTCTTGTGTGTTGTTACTGGGCGTTAGAAAGGTGTGACGTATTAACAATGACAACCTGCTACGCTGCTGCTGTTTCACATTTCACAGCTTATTTCCCTTACTTCCCAAAGTAACTGCCAGGGAGGCAAGCAACCTGGCTGAGCATTTCTCTTCTCTCTATAAACCTAGAAATTAAGTTATAGCTGTTAAACACATCTGTATGCATGTGTAAGGTTGTACTGGTTATACAAGTGGTCCTCAGGGAGATTTTCAGCCACCAGAGAAAACAACATTGGTTATCTCCTTCTGCTCCCAGAGGACAGTTGGAATAATTGAAGAGTGATGGAAGCCTTTGCATCTACAATAAATATTAGTGCTGTTTATCAATGGTTTTGGAGCATTGTCCTGTACAATATGAATTTCATTTTGTCCTGGCTTCCTGTTTCTTGCGATGTTTTCCTGTGAGGGAATTCTAGTTCCTTACCTCAAATTTAGAAGCATTGCTTAGGATGGCCATTCACTGTCAAATTCTTTTCACATTATTGTCATTTGCAGAATGGTTTGAAGACACGTTTCTCAGAACAAGGCTTCTTAGTTGAACTTCTGATCTTTCTATGTTCTGTAAATCATTACTGGCCTTCATTCAAAGAGCTTCCGTAAAAATAAGCCATTGACTCAGCCGATGCCTCCAGATTTCTCTCTTGTCCTGTATTCCTCATGTTGCTTCAAAAATGTTGCCAGTTCATTCTGAAAAATCAAATGAGCCTTTTATATGACTTCCCCACTAACCAGGTCCAGAGCTGTAAGTCAGGGGGAAGGGGCTTGGGACGAAAACCAAAAGATCTCTCTGATATGTTTGCAGTCTTCCAAAAAGTTGAAAATATGTGAGAGTAGGCAAAAAGTTTAAAATATAGTGCAGCTAACTGACAAATGCCAGGGATATTCTTTTTGAGTGATTCTGTGTGGGACCACAGGAGAGATGATAAATATTTTCCCCAGTATAAAACTGTGGGAAAAATGTAAATAGGTAAGTAAAATGGAATATTTTAGTTTACAGTAGTAGCACTCATCTATAAATCATTTGAAAAAACACAACAAACCCCAGCCACAAAAAAGGAATTCTATTTATTAACCAAGCGCTGACTTATAGAACAGAGTGCCACAGTAGGCTGAGAGAGCTAAAGAAATGGTACGCTCAGGTAAGGTGGCATTTGAGTATCAACACAATGGGTTAAAAAGTGAGAATGTTTTTGTCTTTTATATTTTTCTGTGCTGCATCTTTGTTGCTCAACAGCTTCATTTTGCTTCAGCAGATGGAAAAATGAAATACAAATTGAGAGAAAAATTATGTAGAATTTGGTAAACTGATGTTAAATTTTTAAGCTGTAGGCTTTTTTATTGAGAAATAGGATAATTTATGCAGACATTTATTTTTCATGTTGGGGAAAACAACTGGAGCATTGAGTGTTGAGAACTAGGACAAACAGTTTCACAGAGACTTTGTGAGACTGACCCTTCTGAATGGTTGAATCTTTGTATATCGTTGTCACCATTAAATTCTTTAAATTATAACAACTATCAAAGCACTCTATCTCCAGTTACAATAGTCCATGAATGAAGATACAACTTCTGTGACTAAAATGACATTTCCATCCATTTAACTGGAATTGCATTTTTTCCCATAATTAAAGTGATTAAAACTGTGATGTGTGTTTCATAGAAAATTATCGTAGGAGTCGATGAGTAGTAATAGATCAGTGAGCAAAGCATCTACAATTATATTTCAAGAGATAGCTTTCCATAGAATTTTTCATAAAATAAACAATTCTCCAGAGGCTTCCGTGTAGAGCTTAAGCTAAGAAAAATGTTTTGTAAATACTGGATCTTCTAAGAATGTTAAGTAAAAAAAAAAAAAAAGGAATACTAGTTAATCAAGCAATTAATTTTTGAAATAATTCTTCCATAGCTTCCTATAACATTCCTACATATTTTTAAATTTGAAATAAAATAGAAGCAATTCAAACTCAGAAATTTGTTAAATTTAATTGCAGTCACAGTCGTCATTCCTTGTTGGAAATACGACTTTTGCATTTCAGCAGCAATTCTTACTTGAGGTGTAGCTTTTGTGTTTAATCTGCTACTTTACTTTTGCTGTGCTCAGAAGGGGTTGTCGGCTCGTTCTGGTAGAGTCATGATGGGCACCCGTTTTCTAGCACAGTTGCTCCTGGCCCAGTTTTCTGTTGCATCATTTCTTGTTTAGTACACAGCAGGTTTGAGTTTTAACATTTCTGTGTAGGCTTCAACCTAAGCGACCTACCCAGTTGTGTCGTAGTATAGATCTAACAGAACTTGAAGAACTTTGTTTACAGTCCTTTATAGGCTTTGACTCTGTGTTTTGAAAACAGCTTTAAACACAACAGAAAAGCAGTATATGGGCAGGTGTGGATGTCTGGATTTGCAGGGCTGTGGACAGCGCATTCGTTTTGGCTTTTGAAATGGAAAATATTTTGGTCAAAACCAGAACCTATGATAAATGCCAGATCACAACTTTGCTGAAGAATCATCTTGTATTGTGTATCTATCTGTATACGAAGAGCTCAGAATGGTTATGTTTTTATATTCTTTTATTTTAGATCTGCTACCGAGAATAATTAAATACTATATCAGTGTTAAGTAAGAAAAACAACAAAAAAAATTGCATTAGTGGGTACTGAAACATTTCCCATTTTTGCTTTCTTTGACAGCTTTTTGGAAACTGCAGCCTATTTCTGTATGAAACCAAAAATGGGAGAGAAAGAGGTGTCCCCACATTCTTTCTTCAGTATTTGGCACGAATTCAGTTCTGACTTCAAAGACTTCTGGAAGAAGGAAAACAAACTTATTCTTCAAGAAAGGTACATTTGTTTGTTTGTTCAAAGGCTTTTCTCAGAGAATGTTATTGGGAGCAATCGCGCAGAAACCAGTCAGCCTCACTTCATTAGCACACAACCTATTGAATGCCTTTTTCAGTGTTCTCAGTCTTTTTTTTTAACAGAT